CGTCATGTTGGCATACTGTTTGGATGCAGTAAGTTTTTGAATTGAGATTTTTTTGCCTGGGTTTCGGTGTTAAAGCGTCATGGAGCATGGAAAAGCTCATCGACGGCAGAAAAATACATCGAAGGCTCGGTAGAAGGAAAAGTTAAGATTGCCCGTATGATACAACTGATACAAGGCGGCGAAAATTTCATTGAGGTTCTACAGCAGAAGGAATCAAACATTACTAACTCGACATCCAGTAATAACCCAGGCGTTAGTGTTGAGGGCAATACAAATTGTTTCATTACAATCAATGTTAATGTTTGAAATAAAGAATTACAGCCAAATTTATGTTGGGGTTTTTAATTAATTGTGTGAAGATGTCAAATTTGATGTATACAAATAACAGTCCGGTAAGTGTTGCTTAGCGACACTTACCGGCTCTGATGCTGTAATAACTCACCTACCGGACTCAAAATGATAGTGTAATCGAACATTACCGGACAGTATGAAATAAAATACGATTTCGGGCAAAATTTAATACAAAACTCGTCAGTAAAATGACATTACCTGACCTTGGTAATTAAAGTACTCGGCCCTCGACTCGAGGGGCCTCGCACTTCAATATTTCCTTTCCACAGTAATGTATCATTTTCCGGACTTTTATGTAAATAACTATCCCATAAATTTACAAGAAAACTTTCAAAATCACAATTTCTCAACAAAATATCCATGGGTAACTAGATCTTGTTGAATCAACATGGATATGATGGCGATGCATTCAAATGAATTTCTTTTTTTTTCTCTATCTCATTCCGTAAAAATCCAATGTGGCGTTCAGAAGAAATCAGGAAGCCTGTAGCTTCTACATCTAGCGTGTTGTGGAAATTCTGATAACAGATTCAGATTCTCCGAAAAAAAGTGTCCATATGTGCTGGGAACCGTCCATTTCTGACCGTTTAAGCTAGAGAAAGTGAAAACGAAATTTGGCATTTTAAAATACGATTTTTAGTCACGAAAAGAAATTTGAACTACCCCCTAGGTACAGTAGAAATTAAAGCGAACTGCGCTACGTTAATATGTTAAGAATGTCGAGGCGCGAGTCTAAAGTTTTACAAACAAATGGTGTCCACAAAAATATCGACAATGCAAACTGCAAGTAGATGGTCAAATTGCCTTTACATTACCCCCATTACACCCATCACTCATAAACGTAAAGAGATCGGATGGTTGGATAACTGAAGCTCGCCCCGCATTTAATTTTCATAATTTTTTTTTATATATATTCTTTCTTTAATGCAATTTATTATTATTATTATTATTATTATTATTATTAATGTTGTTATGTAAATTGCAGGGGGGTCTCGTTTCTGTAGATTGAAGAAATGCCAACTATGAGAGCGAACCACCCTGTAGTTGAAAATTTACGTGCTGCAAACGTAATTACGTTTTATTATGTGCGTTCTGTGAACGGGTTGTGTACAAAAAAGCTTTATGTCGCCTTAGAATTGTTATTACTGGGTTTTGTACTTTTGTTTTCTTTTGCTTGGTAATATATTTTTGGAATCTCAGGTTATGATTGAATTAATTATGCGCCAATTTGAATTCCAATTTAAGATCCAGGTTAAATTCCACTCAATTATTGTCACATTTTTCCTTTAAGTTTGTGGTACCTGAATGGGATTTCTGATTTTTTTAAAAATGTATGCAATAGGGCAATTTTTTAAATCCTCATCCTCTTCGCTGGAAGAAAATGGGCTCGTTCATAAGACACAACAGTTACCGCTACGCTACCTCGTAGCGTATCGGTAACAGTTGGGGTCTTATGTCACGTTCCCTACTTTGACATGTGTAGCGCTAGTAAAAATGGCCGACTGTTCCGTAAAGAGCGTAAAAGCAGCGACGTAATTATAAGCCGTATCGGTTAGAGTTCCACAACAGTTGTGTCTTATGAACGCGCCCAATGACTACGACGCTATTTCGTAAATCACAATCAAGTAAGCTACAATGCAATAAATTATATCAGGTATCCCAAAAACATTTTCTACGAAATTTATTCTACACCACCTCTATAAAAACTTTGAGGAATCCCCAACCACCTAGAACGGTATTTTGGAAAACGGTCGAGTTATTTAAAAAAAATGAAGTCTGTGTCACTTGAGACCAAGCTGGTTAATAATACATCGCTGTCGTGTGAAAACAAAGCGCTTGATTATTTCAAATGTCCATTTACGAATTGGAAATTTGATCATTTCGACAATGAAGCTGAAATACGTCTTCTTAATTAAATGTATTACAGCCATTGAATAACTACTTTATACAATGGTACAGGTTTACTATATTTGACTGCGAAGAATGTTGTCACTAAGTTTCTCCTCTTTTACTCACTTCTATAATTCACTTTAGGCTTAACTATAGGACCAACCCCCTATAAAACCATCAATTTATGACGCTAATTGTTGCGTCTAAACTGCAATATTTGCACGGTTCTACTTTACGTGTCCGCTGTCGAAGAGCGAATGTTTTTTTCATATTCTCCGAGCGTTCACTTCGGTACAATATGCAATTTAATGACGCTTATCTAATTATAAAAATAACTTCGATATTCAGATAAATTCTTCTCTCCACTATTGTGAAAAATACCCATTAACGATACACTGTTATATTTAACGCTAGTTACTCTGTCAAGTTCAAATTCTACCCTACTGTAGAAGATTTTAAAAAGACTTTTTTTAGAAACGGTAGGCCATTACAATTAGTTTAAGAAATTTGACATCTAAATAGTCATGCCAAGAAAACAATTGCAATACATTAGTATTTTGTAAATTAAATGTTTAAAATTATATTTTTCTTAAATTGTAATAATATTGCTTGCCATGAGCTGAGAGGGTCGCAGGAACTAAGAAACTGATACTTCCACATGTACCTGCACATAAACATTGCAAAGGCTTTTTTGAGAAATTCAAAGAACAACAGAGTTCTTTAGTCAACTTGGAAATCTTCCATTGATGCCATTACAAACGAACAAGTTGTAACATCAGCTAAAGACGTCGAAAAAAACAAACTTCCCTCGTAGGTGCATTTTGGTGCTGCCATGAAGAAGCGGACTCAAAAATAATTCTGCATCTCTAATACTTAACGGCTTCAAGAATATTGATTGCTATACCTATACGCATGGTAGATATACTGATATGTTAGTGCTTACTGCTTCACCTTGTCAGCAGCGCGTATTGATCTCGGTATTGATAAAACATTGAATTACGTTTGGAACGGGAAGGAATTACAGACTCATTCCAGCAACAGCTATTGGGATGGAAAAGGCTATTTTGCTTTACCCTGATTCCGCCCTTTCCATGCTGTGATAGCATTCCTATAGTTTCAATAGAAAGTCCAAAAAATAAATTTGGCAGACAGGGATACTCTTCAAAGAAGCTACTACTGCAGTTTCGGTTATCTCACGAACGAACTAAATATCTACGAGTTGTTAATGCGTCGGAGGGACGGACGGACGGAGAAAGCGGTCATATAGTAACACATGAGTTCAGAATGCGTCATTTCTGAAGAAGATAAAATTGTGCTTATTTTTTACCGCGAATGAATTGTGTTTAATACACCGAAGTTGCAAATTTTCCGGGGGCAAATCTCCGAAAGCCAATTTTCGGGGGGGGGGGGGGGTATGTATTGCCGAAACGATTTCTTCCACGGACATTGGTCATAATGCGTCCTAAACTTGGTTATTTATGTTTGTAACGTATAAATTCAAGGCGACACTATATCCCAATGCAATACGATAATAATATGTTATTACCTAGAACTCGGGGGAGTCCAAGCTAGCGGTTGTTTTAATTTTCCTATACGCGTATTTTTTCCCCATTTCTGCAACTATGAATCATAAAAAGAGTCTCCTTCGAAAAATTCAAGTCATTGATTATAATTGAATTTCAGTGGAAGATCCTCTCCTCAGGACCGAATTTGCGTATTTTGCGCCTATGGGCCTCTCGCCGCCTCCCAATTAAAAGCATTTTATACCCCAACAAAAATTTGTTTCGAGAAATATGCAATATTTTTTACTCTTTACAAAAAGTGTTAATACCATTTTATTTCTTCTAATTTGCTCAGATTGATTTAATTAGTCGTAAAGACATTTTTTATATTAATTATGAGTTTTAATTTTTATTCATATTTCCGCATAATTACATCAACAGGAGGGCTTTATCTTATTTTACTCTTGAAGACTATATTTCCGTTATTACATCAATTTCAATAACGTATTTTAAGTAAACAAATCAAATCCAATATACAAATATGTAAATGTAATCACTGAATCATGTTTTAGAGAATCTAACGGCTACGTGACGTAGTTAAGCCCCCCCCCCCCCTCAGGTACTATCATGAAATTAATAAAAATAGCTAGGCGCCATAATTAAGGGTCTTCAACAACAAAATTGCAGGAGAAGCCCTACATTTCCCACAATCTTACTACAAAGTTGGCATAATTTCTCATGCTAAATGCGGCCCTGCCTCTACTCATCAGCCAAACATCTAATCTCGATAGTGGAACGAATCTGTTCCAATATTGAGATAAAGTTCCAGTTCATCGCATGGTATCTAAAACTCATATCTCAAGAGATACCTACTTATCCCACTCTGTATAATGATTTGTTTGTTAATCGTATGAGATATGCTCTGAAGAGTCATTAGCTAATTTTTGGAAGTTTTTGTAATAAATTCGGTGCCCCAAACCCCAAACAACTTTTCCAAATGGAGGAATTTATTCCATTTTAATTTTTAAAGGAAAAATTAGGTAATTTTTCCCCGAGTTTTTCCCCAAAGTTTTGAAACATGTTCAACTCCAAATGCAGTAGATATCCCAGATTCCATTACTGCCAGTTTTAGCTAACTCTAATTAGAATGTCAACATCATAAACTAAACAAGATGTGACAATAACCAATTATCTATCCTTCAAATCTATTTTGCGTTTAGTGGCTAATTGGATGTTAATATAGCTACTTATACGAACCTATTCAATAGTTCCTTTTTCCAGTTTCGATCTTAATTAGTTACACTACCTATAGCAAAATCAAACAATAACTCATCAGCTTAATTGTAACAACACCTGTTGATAACGAAATAATGCTTGAAATAATTGTCAGTAATTACTAGGTATCCGTACAATAGTACATAGGTACGTAGTGTTTGTGTTACCGTGTATCGCAATGGACGTGATTCCCGTTAAACGGCCTAAACGAGGTATGTGAATTAAATATCCCATCGAAAGATTACGCAATAATCACTTATATTTTTTTTTTACTTAAAGTGTGACGACAGTAATTTGTGAATAATATCAACCAAAGCGAAACCTTGTCCTTCTGTACACATTTTGCGAGGCAAATAATGCGTTGCTGACCTTTTCAGCTTTTCAGCAATAATAGTCGCAATTTATTCATCGGTAATAAATTATACGATTGAATCTGTGCAAGGACTGGCAATTAGCTTTCCATAATCCATTTTATTAATAATTTTATGTGTATCCATTTATGAGGGGGGGGGGGGGGTGCTTGACGAAATCCAAAATTACAAGATTAAACAAAAAACAGCTACCGTTCTGAGAACTATAGCATACTTTTCTTATCTTTTGTAAATCATGTTTATGTACTTATAGCATTAACTGTGGACGTTTACTTTCGTAGGTAGCTGGGTATACCAAAATATTGAAGTAGCACAACATTTGATGGCTGCTCTTGGTGTAAGGTTTTTTTGCGTGCAATGGAAAAAAGTTTTGGGTTAACTGTTGCCTGACAAGAGATAGTTTGATCCATCGAGATCGAGTATTGGAAGAAATTGCCTAATGATAAAATTTCTCCCTCGAATTTTCTTCTTCAGTAAACTTTTTTCATGTAATTCGTCACTTCGTTTCAGAGCGCTGTACGATAGTGGGCACGTAATCTGCTTTGTTTAATTACTGATCTTGAAACCTGCACGAGTTATTTTATTTTGCTACTTTAGAGAGCATCAAAATGTTACAAACAGAATTATTTTATGAGATGGTTCGTATATTTGCCATACAATTAGAATAACACGTAAAAAATAATCCATGACGTACCGTCTGCAGGTAATCGTAACAGTACTCAAAATGGCCACTATCTAGCTAATAAGAACTAAATAATATAATAAATAATGTCCACCAGTGTGGTATAAAAATTAAGGATAATAAAGTATGGATGTGTCATGTGGATGGTACTATACAGGGTCATTCTTGACAAGCGTCAGTTGGAAAGATATGGAGAACGTTTGAAAATTATACTAAACTGATAAGTCCTATAAGGGTTTTGGCACATGATGAATTGAACTCAAATATTTTGAAGATGTCGCCACTTCCGCAAATACCGGAAGTAGCCATCAACTTTCTATTTTTTCTACATTTTCGGATTCTACCTCGAATTTGAAGTACAACGACACCATAGTTGACCCTTTGCTCCAAGGGCTTCGTCGATATTCAAGTTTTTATGTCAAAAATTGAATTTGTAGGGGTAATTTTAAAAATTTATTATTCGAAAACGGCGAGAGATTTTTCTAAAAGAAAAACTAAAATAAACTGTTCACTTTAGAAAAATTTTGCAAGTACATTTTTTTGTCCGTCTTTCCTACATAGTCAAGATATGGTTTGCATTTGAAAATTGATCTTATTTGTATTATTTTCGAATCACATTTGAAAATCAGACGAATATCATTTAATAGAGCAGCTTTGCAGCTGTCCGTTCGTGAAAAAAACATTTTGCTAAGTCGTCAAACAACAGAACCTCTGAAACTGTGAAAAATGTCAAATAACTTCGAAACCATGTCAGTTAGACATAGCATCATATTAGCAAAATCATACTGATTTTTTATGAGGAATTCAAAAATACCATCAGAAAAGATAGTGCCATTTGAAATAAGAAAGTTCCGGTATCCTTCTGATACAACCGGAAAAGCAGCAATCTTGCATATATTTTAAATGATTCTTTTTGATCGATTATTCAAAAAAGGTAATGAGTCCCGAATCAAAATTCCAAACCGTTCCTGAGATACTTCTAATGGTCCACTTAAAAACATTATGGGAATATAGTATATATCTCGGTAAATATCGAATGGGTACAACATTTTTCTATATGAAAGTTGTTTAACATTTTATTTCCCATAATAAGGCAGCATTCAATTGTTTTTATTTCGGAAAACAAATGAGTAACGAAAAACAATTGAATTTTTTTTAATTGCAGTGCAGTTTTTCATTAGGTCCATTTGATAGAGATTTTTTTCTCTTTTCGATGATGTTACATGTTAGTACCTACTTTAATACTAGAAAATGTTTCAAAAAAACTTATAATACATCAATAACATTAATCTAGATATCCTACATCACAATAAAACAAATTTGTTACCATTTTATTGCTAATTTCATTTTGTCTTCAAGGTTTAACAAGAAACGTACCTATGTGTTCATTTGTTTTATTTTGATATAGGATATCTAGATTAATTTATTGATGTTATTATATCTAATAATTTTTTTTGAAAAATGTTCTTGTATTAGATTACTAACATGTTACATAATCCAAAAGAGAATTTAAAAATCCCTATCAAATGATCCTAATGAAAAGGTGCATTGCTATTTAAAAAATGCTATTGTTTTTCGTTACTCATTTGTTTTCTGAAATAAAAACAACTGAATGCTGCCTTATTATGGGAAATAAAATATTAAACAAGGTACTTTCATATAGAACAATTTGGTATACATTCGATGTTTACTGAGATATACTATATTCCATACATCATGGGCACCCTGAATATTGATATATTGAATATCGATCTTAATCTTAATAGTGAATAGTCTTGTGTAAACAACGACAGATGGACGTTCTTTGGGTTGAAATAATGCCGAAGATAAGGACGGACGTTCCTGTATGCGTAAATGATTTAATTTAGTTTAAATCTGGAAGATTTTATCACAAATAAGTACGGAATTGGTTTATTGCATCGGAATTTGTAATTTTAGTGTCTATTTGGTTACTTTGTTAACGAGCTCCTAGTGAGTTTATAATTTTGCGGTGTCTGTCCGTCTGTCTTTCCGTCCGTCAGTCCGTTAGCACGCTATCTCATAAACGAATGAACCGATTACGATGCAATTTTTCAGGTGGATTATTAATTGTAGATCGGAGTTCGTGAATTGTCAATGTAGGCTAAAAAATAAAGACATCTCTGTTAGTTATGAACCGAATTGCATGAAATTAAATATGCGCATAGCTTTAGCCATATAAAACGCAATTCCAAAAGTTGAGCCTAATCGATCATCATTCTCAGTGCCCTTTTCGCATCTCGACCATTTATAAGTCGAATGGCAAACTTTCTTATTTATGAAGGTATTTAAACGAAATTTGATTCATAGCCACTTGGAATAAAAGCAAATTTAACACCCGTTTCAAAATTTATAGCCATACTCAGGAGCTCATTTTCTATATTTGTTTACACGTTTATTTTCTCTTTAAATTATATCATTCATGTAAATTTGTTTGTTTAAATAATAAGATGTTAAGATTGCGTTATTTAGAATTAAGAAACATTTGGTCGAGTGCCTTTAAGTGGCATCTGCTCGGGCACCATAAAGACGGTATTATCGGGAAAGTAAATTGATTTTCGAAACACATGTGTATTTTAGAGCCGATAACAAAGGCTACAGGCGTAGATTTCTTTTGCGTGTACTTATGTTATAGAAGAGTGCATGCACTCGTGTTACATTTAATTTGACGAAGAGAGAATTATGATGATCTAGTGGAAATTGCACTGTTTAAAAAGGGAAAATAAGGAAGTTACGACGGATAAAAGAGCGTGTACGTCTACGCTAATTTTATGAAGTAATTGGTTTTTCTGTTTGCTTGAAGTAACAGTTTTCCTCTCATTCAGAATAATCTGAAAAATTAATGCGGTTTTTCCTTTTACGGAAGAAGTTACGTCGGTTTGAAAAAGCAGTTTGTAGTGCATAACGAGACTTTGTTAGAAGGTTCTCCTGCTTAGTAAAAGTCTAAGTGTTGCCCGTGTTGAACATTGAAAAATATTTGAAAAACTGTAAGTAATTTTTAAGATTTTCTTTCTTTATTTGTGTCGACAACCTGCGTGTGGGATAGATGTAATGGGCTTGTGCCCCTCTTTATTTCAAGTTTTTCTTGATTATTGATTGCATTTTAAGTTCTGAAATAAATTCTTTTGTTTGTTATTCATTCTTTCAACACTTCTTAGCTACTTGAAATGAATGTGAAATTGTCAACATTGGGATGCGATCCAATCATTGGTCCGATAAATAAGCGCTGTGTGTGCAAAGAACGTGCAAACGGCCTTACGCCCTTATCGATCCAAGTCCTACGATGAGTTGTACGATAAATCGTACCTGTACCATCTGGAGGGCGTTTTAAACACTCGGCGAACCAAAGCAAGGATTCCATTGTTCCCTTGGTTCCATATGTAAATCAATGACTTTATTCGGGCGCTACCGCGAGGGTTGAAACATTACCCATTACTCTACCTGCTTTGTTACCGATTTATAACAACGAACTCAGCATTGATTGATATCATTCCTTGCCGTACCTTGAAACGAAATCACTAGAATACTAGTATGCTGAGGTATTGAAGGGCCATTAATTATGTCAGTGACGTAGGTACAGAAGTGAGAGAAATATTTTGTATATGGAAATAAAATATTGCAACCTTCTCTATGTTTTAAAACATTATCATTGTTTTTAGTCTGGTATGGTTAATTTTAAATGGTTATTGGGGTTATTAACGTTTTAATCTTCTAAATAGTGCCATCCGAGTTCGTACTTAATACGGTGTTACTTTTATCTTAGAATATTGTGTCTAAGTGCTATCAGATAAAAAAATGTCACATAAAAAGGGTCACACTCGCACATTCAAATGACAGACCTTCAGTTATGCTTCCACCGCGTACCAACATGGATAGAATCCCGTACAAATGTGACGAACCCAATCAAGGTATGATAATTAACCAAATACTAATTAATTAAACGTTTTGAATATTCAAATGTGGCCAATACGTCCCGAACTCATTATCGCATACCTTATGACTGTAAATCGAAATTTTGCATGTTAAACATAGGAGGGAAACCTGTGTTTGGCTCAACCTTATTAGAGTAGAGATTAGGTTATATAATGCATTATATAAAAGAAAGATGTTATCTAGATCGGATTAATATTTTAGCTATTATTAACATACTCGCTGCTCAGTGTAAGTACTTTATTGTAATAACAGTTCCAATACTCGAAGAACCTTACGCTATACCTCGAGGGATTAAAAATAACTTGTCCTCTATCGTCTTCGTAAACAATAGGTATTTTTGATGTCTTTATTTATTTTCCCTGGTTTTGGAAAGTTTAAGAAGGAAGCAGTTTATTACAAGGTCTTTCTAAATCAATCATTAGTAAATTTTTAATTGTTTACTTTGACCGAACAGTTAATTAATGATCTCTTATTATCTTTAATTGCCTACTATAACGAAATTAGGTGTTACCTAGATTTTAATTAAAGTATTACGCCTTTCATAAGGCATTGAAACTGAACATTTTAATTTTTATGAGAGACAATCCGATAAGAAACTTAAGGGAAATAGCGGCTGAATTTAATATCCCTTCATCATAACGTAAAATCATACTATTTACTGTCGCTTTTTTTAAAATCGAGAGTCTAGAGCGCATGCTATTTTGGTTGCATAAATTAGGCGTCTTTCAGTTGCCATTTTAAAGTAGACAAGAAAATCACTATGTCTACTTCTAAATGAATAACACTGTATATATTAAGCTAGTCAATTTATCAACATAACAAAAATAAATATTCATGTTTTGCATGGTTGCCGGGAACAGATATCGCAGCTAATCAATCGTTGAATTGAACATTCAAGTTTTCTCATTCACATTCACTTTCCGTTTGCCTTTCGTAAAAATTCCCAGTTAAAAACACTCGTTTTCGTTTTTCTTTTCAGTATATCATGTTTCTTAAAGGTATTTCTTGTGCGGGCACGCGGTTATACTTTGGTTGAGCAACTAAATTTTACAACTGAAGGCTGTTTACTTATACTTAAATTACTTTATAGGTACCGACTCCAATTCGATCAACTGGAAGACGATAGTAAATAAAAGGATACCCGTAACGGCATGGATTCCACACTATACCCTGGCGACCTTTTTCCAGGACATCGTTGCCGGATTCACAGTCGGTTTAACGGAAATTCCTCAAGCAATTGCATACGCAATAGTGGCAGGTAAAGCACGCTACACGTCAAGCCATCTGCCCATATGAGATATTCTATCTAGGTCTTCCTCCGCAATACGGACTGTACTCGGGACTTTTAGACTGTATAGTTTATTTCATTTTTGGAACATGTAAAGACGTAAATATAGGACCCACAGCTATTATGGCGCTAATGGTGCAACCCCACGTTGAGAAGTTGGGCCCTGATATGGCGGTGCTGATTACGTTCCTATCGGGTGCGATTATTTTCGTACTCGGTCTGCTGCACTTAGGTAACCCATTCAAAACTAATAAATAAATCAGTACAGTCCACTTTAGGATTCTTGGTTGAGTTTTTTTCGTACCCCGTCATAGCAGGATTTACATCGGCCGCGGCCATACAGATTGGCTCCTCGCAAATAAAGAGTCTGCTGGGAATACCTGGAAAGGCTAACGAGTTCCTGGAAGCTTGGATTAGTGTTTTCAAGAACATTACACACATAAGCTGGTGGGATTCGTTATTGGGTGTATCCACTATTATCCTTTTAATATTGATAAAGGTAGCTACACGCCAGAAATAATAATGAAATTACTAGCGACGAATTTTAGCAAGTGGGACGCTATGGAAATCGTAACAGTCGCCCGGAATTCTCGACCACCAGAAATATTTTAGGAAAAGTGCTATGGCTATGCTCCATTGCACGTAACGCTGTGGTTGTCATTATTGGAACGTTAATTGCATGGATCTTATACACGAATGGAATCAAACCTTTTAAATTAACAGGTAATATCGGCAAGGGGTTGCCCACGATCCAATTACCACCATTCAGCACGGTTTTCAATAACCAAACGTACTCATTTGTGGATATGATTAAACAGTACGAAAGCAGTATTGCTTTTGTGCCACTGATCGCCATTCTGGAGCATGTGGCCATCGCAAAGTCTTTCGGTAAGTTCTTAATGAGAGGACTTGGTTGATCAATTTCACATCCTTTAGCGAAAGGGAAGACAATTGACGCGACTCAAGAAATGATAGCCTTGGGTTTATGTAATCTCTCTGGGTCTTTCATACGATCAATGCCGGTAACTGGATCTTTTACCCGAACTGCCGTCAATAACGCGTCGGGAGTGCAAACTACTTTAGCAGGTGTTGTAGTTACCGCAATGGTACTGCTTGCTCTCGGTTTTCTAACCGCCACATTTGCCTTTATTCCCAAAGCGACCTTGGCAGCTGTGGTAATTTGCGCAATGATCCACCTTATTGATTATAAGGCAATCATCACGCTTTGGAGAACTAAAAGTAAGTCTCTTGCACAGTTCGCTGTCCAAAAACTATAACCTTTTGTCTAGAGATGGATTTAATACCCTTCATCATTACACTACTGGCATCTCTTTTAGTTGGATTGGAATACGGAATTTTAATTGGAATATGTAGCAACATTCTTTTTGTACTTCATTCAAGCGCGCGACCGTCAATTGAGATTGAAAGAGAGAAGTTTCCACAAGGCGACGTATTCGTGGTAACGCCGAGTAGAAGTCTCCAATTTCCATCGGCCGAATATCTGAGGGAGAAAGTGATACAAGACTGTTACGATCCCAAAGTAACGGTCGTACTCAATGGAAAGTACATAAATAATGTTGACGCAACAGTGGCGAAAAACTTTAAAGTTCTTGCCGACGATCTGATACTTCGAGAGCAAAATATTATATTTTGGAACTTTAAAATGAACGTCAGAAATATCTGTAAAGGCGTAGATCAAAAGTTGGTGGACTTTTTTAAGGATGGCAATCTGCAGGATATTATCGAGGGTGCGGTGCTAAATTGTCTTATGATTTTTAATAATATTGATTTTTCAGCAGCGGCACCAAACGGAGTACCTACGCTCATGGTACGATTTTAATTAGATTTGCGCACTGTTTACAATAAATTGTAAATTTCTGTGAATCTTTGTAGGCTTTGTAGCCCCCTTAACTACTGTGATTTTAGAAGAGGAGAATATATTTAATTTATTCGACACCTGTGTATATTAATATTTTAATAAATAACGTATAACTTTAACGACTTTTTAAGAAGCCTGCATAGTATGACGTGCTATCAGGGATCGAAACTAAAATCCCCATTTCTCTAAATAGTACAGTCAAATTGTAGCCAAATTCGTCATATATCCAAGAAAATTGCGAAGTCTTTGTAACTTTGTATACTTATACCTAAATATATTCTGTTTAAGAATTCGACGAGTCCCTAACGTTACATAGTGTGCTCAGCCCAAAATGAAGGTTTAAAAACCCTCGCGCCGCTCGCCCACCTGTCGTAACGGCTCGTTCACACAGTAAAGTTTTCCCGGATCGGATTTTTATCGTATACGCAGAACCAATAGGATCATGATCTCGCGGAATTCTTCAAGTATGAACTTGCTCCGTATCCACTTTCAGTGTTTAAAGGCACCAGTGAAATAAGGACGACAAAAAATTCTGCTGTTTATGGCGTGTTCTGCTCAAAACATATCAAAGTTGTACCGGAATCGTTGTGAAAAAGGCCAAGAACATTATCTCAATGGCCAAGACATGAATTTAATGCATTTTTTGGGGGCCATATGTATTTCCATCCAAGTTTTCAAAATCGTTATTTATGCACAAAGATCGTTTGGAAAAACACTAACAGCATTATCTCAATGCCCAAGACATGAATTGATGCATTTTTGTTGACTATATGTATCTCCAAGATAAAAATAAATGGTTGTTAAAAAGGTGATGGTAATCCTGAGGATCATTCGATATTTTGTTGTATCGGTTTGTCTTTAATGAAAGTATGACCTAATAGAAATGTTTAACAATGGACGAACATGCGTGTAATCGGCGAGGATGTTGACGTCCTTGTTCTCTTGCCTATAACACCAAAAAATAAAAAGATAAAGTCAGACAAAGGCAAAACTAAAAAGAACATTTTTGCAGTAGTGATACCACATATTGTATGTTTCAGAAGCAAAAATTACTATTTTTCAAACTCTTGCAAAACAAAATGCAATTGGCTATAGTGAGAACCTTCAATGACCAAAATTTCAACCTTATCAGAAGTAAGAGAAGCTGGTGAACCCCATTTCCTGATGGTATACAGTGAGAAGAAAATTTGAAAGTTGCCGTTAATTCGTATAGGTTTTACCAATTTAAAAAAATCGCTGCAAAAGCAAAAATCAGGGCCGAATTATTAGCAGTAACTTGAGTGGCCGCTGCTCAGCATTACTCACGAGTATTCTGCCAAATTCAGATATGGCTTCGTAGTACCAACAATACCGAACAGTGGGGTGGAAGAAAATGAAGGGCTCATTGTAGCCTATTACAACACTCTTTACGCGAGGACCACAATCCGTACAAGTGTACTACAACTTATTTCATGCAAATGTACGGTTGCATACATGGAGCAAATTTGCAAACATCTTTACGACCCCGTCACCCACTGATCTCGAAAAAGAGTCGCGAAGGAAAGTAATAGTTTGTACACACCAATTTATTTCGATGAGACCTTTCATTAGAATACCATGACAGGTAGAACGTGTGTTTACCTCCTCCCCCCCCCCCCCCATGTACAAAATTTGTACTTGGTACCACTAAAGGCATGCGTATACAAAATCTCAAACCAATTGATTGGTTTTCGTATGTAAAAGTTATGCACGTTTTACTATCACAAACAGCATCTCCGGAAATAATTCATGGGGGGGGGGGGGGGGGGGGCTTAAAAGAGCGAAATTTGATGGTCGCCTGGCACATCCTTCAAGATGTAGGCTACATATTGCAAAAAATTGCAGGAGTCTAGTACCATTTCCCTAGACGTACTTCAGAACGGTAAAAGTGGGCCGGACGGATGGACGGACAAAACACAAACAGTAGCACATTTTTTTTAATTCTTAAAAAATGCTCTAAAAATTTCACAAAGTATTTTTTAATAGGATTTAAATGCCACTTCCTGTTAAAAAAGTGAACCTCCAGTTCACTCTACGTTCTTGAGCATGACCACTCCAGCACACCTCTTGTGGTTAGGGACTCTTCGGTTCCTTGAAATATACGTATTTTCAAACGTCTATACCAAGTTTCAAGTACTTCGCAATTTTCTTGTCCATTTTGGACAATTTTCCTGTACTAAAAACAATATTGACATTATGATGTACCGTAAATATCACTTTGGGCAAAATGCCTTTTTTGGTCTCCTGGCCCAAAATTAATTTTTTTTGTAGGTACAAACTCATGGCATGAAAAAATTATCTTAAATAAGGGCGTTTAAACAAGACAAAATAATGCGATATGATCGAAGGGTGTTTCACTGGGGAATTTTGGAGTGAAGTGAGAATTACAGGAAATTTCCGAGGGATTTAAGGAAATGAAAGGAATCGAATTGGACATGCATGCCCAGTAACAAATCTGCTGTAGCGTTAGTGCTAAACAGTATGAACAGGGGGAGTAGAAAGAAGAAAAGTTATCAAATCAAATCATTAGATTATTGAAATGCACACTTTCCAACACGTAGTCAACCCACCTTACTTTAATCTGACGCGCTTGAGTAAATCGCAAAATCCCCTATTGGACGCCCCTGCTATTATAATTGTGAAATCGTGCTTACGTAGTACAAGTTTCCCCATGGCTATCCTTGTTTCATGGATATAAAGATATAGAGTATCACTTAGATGTAGATTTTTACTGAACGTGTAGATCGAGATCTATTAAAAATTATGATGAGGTAAAATGTGAAGAACAACTGCCAGTAGCTAACCGAGAAGAAGAGATTCGAGACGAGTAATTCAAAAATTTTACGCATCGGATTTTCTATTAGAAAATTAAACAAACGATAAAAATTAGGTTGAAAGAGAATTTGAACTTAAGATTACTCTTCACTAAATGTTGATTGTTGTTGTCTACCGGTTGTTTTACCTAATGAAATATCAATACTCATAATGAAATTATCTTTTTATTGGCTTTTTAAGGAAATAACAGAATGATTAGCAAGTAAAAGAAACGCGTCTACTGAAAAATGAACACAAAAAAAAATGCGAATAAATCTAGCAAAAATAGGAACAGGTCCAGTCAATTAGTGAAAATGAATGTGAAGTGGTTAATATTGGATAATTCTACCGATAAAAACATAGGTACCTATATCAAGAGCTGGTGATAATGACACTGAAAATAAAAGTGATATTGAGATTAACTAATAGCTAATAGCATTAAGTTTTTATACAAACTTGTAAACAATACTTTAGATTGTCCTTATTTACTTGAAAAACTGTCGTTTACTATACCAATGTATTCTACCAGGCATTTAGACACCTTCACTTATCCTACTCCAAAATCCAATCTTCTTCGTAGAACTCCATCTTTAATAATGGCATGTAATTATAATATGTATTGTCAGAACTGTGACATTAATTATAATTCTTTATCGAATGTTTTAAGTTCTATTTTTAATTAACAGAGTTTTGTAATTATTATTTTGCCTTCATTCATAGAATTGCTTCTACTTGCAACATTAAGTGTACCATTATATACACATACCCTTTTCTGTTATTGTTTGTTTACTTTTCTTACTAATTTGTAACAATTATATTCCATTTCCTTTTTAGCGCATTTTTGCAAAAAATTTTTTTTGTAAAAAGTAGCTTTTAATCTCACTTTGGCTGGCTGGCTGGCTGCTGGCTGGCTGGCTGGCTGGCTGGCTGGCTGGCAGCAAATGTGGGCGCGTAGAAGAACTCTTGTAGAAAGGCAACGGGGGTACGTGTATCTACAGGGCCGTGAAATTTGTCAACCTTAGGGACATGGCTACATGATGTGGGGTTGGCGACATCTGGGCGTCATCCTCGAGCGTAGTATACCAACGTGAAGGTTTTTCAGTTTTTTCCTATCTTCTACTACAGTTTTGGTCCGATTCTTTTGAAATTGGTG